ATATATAAATGAGTCAGAACCATGACGTTAAAGTTTACAATGTGGAACATACAGCGCTGGAATCAAGCACATACACTTACAGTCCTTCAAGCACTCGGCTCTGCTTTAAACTGATGCAAGCATTGCTTAATTTGCCGAAAACCTAAATCAGTGAAGTCTCACACCGGTTCACTTGCAAACATCAATCCTTTCATTTCTTGCTTATATATTAAGCCATCAGACAATGTAACTGTCCAAAATTTTGTTTCAGGTTCTAAAGTATTATCAGCGGTATTTTCACAGTGTGATAATACCATATTTAGGACTCCTATTAATGACTTTTCAAAAAGCGATAATACACTTTTTGTAAAATAAGGTGCCTCAATAGCCTCTAATATCTGCACCAGTTATTAAAATCAAATCAACCTTTCATTTAGTAGATAAGACAGAAAACCTGTGACATTTTATGCTCAGGTCTTTTTTTTTTTTTCAATCCATGGTAACTCATTTTATATTCTTCTTTATAAATGTTACCCTTTTAAATTTTCAAGTATAAAGCATATAAAGCTTAAAAGCACAATTTCAAATCTCTCTCACCAAAATGGATGTAACATTTGTTTTCTTATGTGTTTTTAAGGATTGAAGAAATTGTTTTCTTTCAGTAACATGGAAGTTTTTTTCCCCATAAAATTTAGCTACAAAAAAAATCATCCCCATATCAACATCCAACGTACAGTCAAATATTACTGTATAATTTCTGTAGCTACCTCTTTTATTATTCTTACTCCTGACTTTAAGAGCAAAAGTGGGAGCCCTGGGCTATAATTATCTGATACTTAGAGTAAGGTTTTACATCTGTTCGAGGCATTCCCTGCAAATGTAACATGTGGGTTAGGGGAGAAGAAAGGAGGAGAGTGGATTATAAGACACAAAACAAGTTTAAGAGTACATCATAGAGTGGGGCAGAAATAGAATGTCACATCAGGTCTTGAAAGTGTTTACTTACAGGGCACTCTCATGTGCAAGTTATGAAGGAACTGCTTTTGGAAGGAAACTCACCTCCTATGATGAATGAATGAAATGTGGTTGGTGGTAACATGCTACAGACATTGTCCCTTGTACTAAGGGACATCTTCCTCCCCTCAGAGTTCATGCCTCATGTCTCAATTAACGTTGCAGTGAGTACCCGGATGTGCTCAAGCCCTACTGAGGAGACAGGAACACTGCAGAGCTCGGCCAAAAGGACTCACAATCTAATAGAATCTGTGTTCCACAAATATGCTTTACACAAATGCATTATGTGCCGAGAGCCAGCTTGTTTTATAAATGCATTTTGTGAAACACAATGGAATTAACCCAACATTTATATTTTGAACCTCAAAGTACATTATGAGAATTATAAATTTCCCCATTGACAACAGATGAAAATGAACACTGTCCTTATTTACTTTCGGTGGAAACGGAGAGGAGGGGAGAATGATATATTTTTTAAAGCTTTAACCAAGGTCAGGTTTAGTTTTAGCTAATCTGGCTCCCTACCCCAAAGCCAAGTTTATTTTCTTCATCGTTTTGTTCTTTTTTTTTCTTCTTTCTGGATTTCCAATTAAATAATGAAAACTAGAATTATGATGGAATAATAAAAAAAAATACTCAAGGATATTCTTAAGTCCCCAAGGTGAAGAAACTGCCTAAGGGAGTCAAGAGCACATAGACCAGATTTTTTACAGCGTGTGCTAGTCCACACTTTTAAGAAGGCAATTAGTTATTCTTGTGTATTAGCAACTGCCCCATTTTCTCCATAACTTGGGTGAGACAAAGGGTCTTGGAGAGATATATTTTAAGTGGGACGTTTATTACCCCCAAAAAAGAATGATTCTAATTTAAAATCACTGGGAAAGCCCTTTCTATAGATGCAGTCAAATTTCATAACAGCAGAAACTTGGCCCAGCTGGTCTCAATGCTCATTGCTGTTTCTAACCAAGCCATCATTAACTTAAAGACAGAGTTAAAGAATCTCATACAGTAACCTGAACCTGAGAGTTTTACTTGTTTAAAGCAACCCAAGCCAGCACAATGTTAATTTGGTGGTCATACAGTCAGTGTAAGATACAGAGCTGTGAGTGATAACTCTGAAATGTCTATGCTGGAAAAAAAAAAAGACAAATTTATCTGTGTGTTCAGTGTAATACTACTTTCAAGTTACTAGTAGGTCATTTTTGTCACAGTACCATGCAGGAAGAAGTGTTGGCAGTGGGAATTTTATTGCATGAGCCTGAAGGCTGGATACATATTTCATACAATAAAAAGAGAAGGTGGTTTTTGAGATCTGTCTTCCCTTTCTACCTATGCTTAGCAAAACCAAGATAGGAATTTTTTGAGGGTGATTTTAAAAAAAATAAGCACTGTGAAATTTTATGTACCCCAAGACCCCACCATAAAAAAGCAAATAAAAATATATGGGCTCCCAAGAAAAGATTTGTTTTTATGACCATATATCCTTAAAATCTAAAATGGAATTGGAGAGCTTCTTTTGCGAAGTATAGATTCTTGTTACTTCCTGTTCAAGAGAGGCATACCTAAAAGGTTATTGATTTAGTTCTGAAGGACAGAGTGTTTATTATGGAGGAAGCCATTGCGGGGTACAAGTATGAGGAAATTAATGATGGCTTTGTAAGTGTCCATGCTGTGGTGTGGAACCAGTGGGGCAACTGTCAATCTATATGATAATACATTCCCAAACTTCATAAAATCAGTGATGTGAAAACACATTGATTTCTCTGTGAGCTAGATGGAATTTGTCAAAGAGCAAGAAGTTTACTGAAGTTAACACCTCAGCCTGCAGAGTAGCGTGTGCCTCACTTTTTATTTGCTTAAAGAGTTTTTGATGGGACGTGTACAATGTCTTGTTTTTATTTCTGGACCCAAATGAGAACAGAACATGCATTTCGTACATCTTTTAAATATGTGAGATAATTTTTTTTTAATTTAAAGAGAAAAGAAAACACATTATTCTACCTGTACATGTTAAAGTAACCAGCTATCACCTAGGCTTGAACTCTGGATTTAGTACCTTTGTCATGCTCTCCCAGACTCAGACGCAAATGGGGTGCTTAGTACTTCTAAGTACATTTTTCTTTATGCAATTCTGACTGCATTATAACTAGCATCACAGAAAAAAAAAGTTGAGACACTATATCTAAGGGTTTACTTCCTATCGGTACACAGGGCTTTATACAGACTCCCATAGGTGAAAACTGTTCAAATGTGATGCTCCAAATAATGTTGGAAAAAAGAGACTACTACTGGTCTACCAAATACATCATTAATTACAAAGTTCGCCCATCCATAACAGCTCTAGGTAAATTCAAGGCAAGCATTTTTTGCCGCCTTTGCTTCACTGGCAACCTCCCCTTACTAGTTGAGTTTTTAAAGATGTATATATAGCTTTAAAAACAGGTGGTGAAGATTCTATAAATACATATTAATAATTCTGTGTAGATGGTTCCCATAAGACCAATGAGAATACCAACCATGGAAGATCTGTTAAAATACCTTGTTTAAAATGTTCCTTAAGTTCCTGGATTACAAGTGATTTCACTTATTAGGCAATCAAACTGCCTCCATTTAAATCGTATCGAACACACACTGAAGTTGAAAAAAGTACAACAGTAAATGAATTCAATGTATGCCTTTATGAAAACTTCTGAAAGTAATTTCCTATCAACTAAGCATCTTAGAGTGTTGAATGTGCCAAGTGGCAGAATTTCGTTAAAATTCAAAAGGAGTCAAGTACAGATTTTTCCTTGAGAGTACACCTTGATTAGCTACATGAACGAAGGCATAAGTAAGATACATCCCCTTGCCCCACTGCAGAATAAATTATTTCAGAATTAAACATAAATTTAAATGCAAGAAAGTGACATCTTCTTTAATATATGCATCTTACCCAGAAAATGATGTATCTTCAACAGTTTTGAGATTAAGTAATATTTAGCTATGCTTTTGCATTCACAACAAGCTGTACGCCTGCAAATTCCTTTTTTCTTTTTTGAAATGCAAGAAAATACTTAAAGCTGCTCTAGTAGAAGTTTATAATATTGCACATAAACATCCTTAACTGATCTATTTGTAAACATTTTAATGGTAATTCTTTCAGCACACACACAATATATTCATAACAACTCACATAGCATTTGATGTTTTCTTCATAAATCAACTGTACCTAATGCGATTTGTCTTTTTAAAAAATGTTTTTGACTGAACACGGTTGTGAGTCCCTCCGAAATCCACAAATAAGCACCTTATCTCTTTAATGACTTTCTTAGGCTTCCCTATATTTACTGCTTAATGATCGGAAGCATTTAATTTTCAAAGTTTCATTAAAACCCATCTACAAAGCTGATGGATAAGCAATAGTGATTCGTGGTAGAAGACGTGGGAAGCCATTAACCTACACAGGTACCAAGGAGAAAAGTAAACATATAAGAGGACGCTTTTTGGAAGACAAGTCCCTTCCTATTTATCATTATTAAACTCCAGAGCATCTGTTCCTAGTTTGATCTTCAATACGGATATGAGGCATTGCCGCCTGGAAATGAAAGTCTAAGATAAGGTGGGAGTCTTAAAGAGATCTTCATGAAAAAAAATAACCCAGGTTGCCATTTTCTGGGCATGGGAAATCAATACAAAGACCTAGAAACTCATGGAGAGAGGGCATTTTCTAGGTATAGGTCATAGTTTATCAAAGTTTCCTCTTTTGCCATGTAATTTACTTGCTAATAAGACTAACTGACTATACCTGAATACTGTGTTATCATCAAAAGGCACTTTGAAAATTCTCTCCTCATGTCTCGAGTGTGCTTGTGCTTTATTTTCCCCTAGCTCAGAGTGGGTAGACAAAGTCAATTTTAAAAGAAAATGAATGGTTTTAGATGCCTCTTTATTAAACAATAAAAAAAATCCCAAACCCCACATCAAGCCGTACCCGACCATGAAAAGATATATTGAAGAAGCGGGCCTACCGTTCTCATCATCTGACTTATTTTCGTTGTCAGAATCAGTCAGGGTAAGGGCTGAGTTCTCACGACTGGATAGGCCGGAACTGCGCCTGGATTTTATCCCTCGCCCCCACAGTCGGATGGCGTGTTCTGGGGACATCCCTCCCTCGGTATCGGAGTCAGCGTCAGACCCTGCGCTCAGAGAGTAGCCCTGATGAAGTAGCCCCATGTCCGAACAGTAGCCACTTCGGTGCGGGGAGGGCTCGCAGATCCCCAGTTCCGCAAGGCTGAAGTTGGTGCCTAGAGGGACAGCAACAGAGAGACCGGTTAGCATGTGCGAAATGCGTTCCAAAGTGAAAACGTATTCTTACAAAAAGCAGACAGGCACTTTTTCCATCTAAAAAATATACAAGAATGGCCACAGCATACAGGACAAGGCCTTGGGCGAGGGGATTTAGGATACTGGGGTCAGTGTGAGAACAAAAAAAAAGCTACACACCGAAAAATTAATTTTAATCCTAGGACAGAAGGCTCAGATTTTATTTAGAAAACTTTTAAGCATTTACTGTTATCTCGGTAGCGCCCTGTCGCTGAAAAAAAAAATATATATATATAGCTAATATATACCGAGCAATTGCTTTGCTCCAGGTATCTTGTATTTTAAATCTTAAAACTGTATAACAAGTTTATAAAGATGATAATAGTACTGTAATCATTCTGTAAGTAAGGAAACTGAGGATCAGAGGAACAGAGAATTTAAGTGACTTACCCAAGGTCATACATCTAGACTGTAGCAAAACCTGGATCTGATCTTGAGCAGTCTGTCTTCATGCCAAAGAACCTTAATCCTCCAATAAATGTGAGTGGTGGCCAGCTGACCTGGGGACCAGTCCTAGCTTCCCACTGGTAATTCTCATTGTGGCCAGTCTCTTACTTCTGGAGCCTCAATGTTTTCATCTGTAAAATCTGGGTGTTAATCTCTTCGATTCCTCTCAGGATAGCTGTGTGTCTTATATGGGCTATATATATCCAACTATTTTTCTTAAACAATGTGTTAATGAAATCAGCATCCTAGGGATGAAGAGTTAGTCCTTTTGCTTTAAAATGATATCACACAATTTCTCTTTGCTAACACATGTAAAACCACAAGTAGGTTTCACCTATGAAAAGTGAGTATGTGCACACTGGGTGTGCAGGGTGGGTGGGCGCGGGGTTTTCATGGGAAGCGGAAGAGAAGAGGTACTTATTGAACATGTGGGTGTCACTGTGTGTCAGGCACGGGGCCAGGCACTTCATAGCTCTATCTCATTTAAACCTCCTACTAGCCCAGCAGTTTAGGGGTTGAACACTTTACAGAGAGGTGACACACTGTGTCCAAGGTCCCACCTAGGCAAGTGGCAGGTCCAGGATTCACCTCTAATCTGCAGACCCCAAGCTTGTGCTCTTTCTACAATGTCAGATGATCTCAATCAAAACCAGTTTGGCAACATTTTGGCATAGTGAACGCTCTGTGTATTTGTGCCTTTACTATTCAGCTTGTTAGAAGACGTTTTAAGGTTTCACTGCAAATTAGACGGAATCATGCAGCACATGCCATTTGTTGACATATAAAACTAATTTTTGGTCTGTAACCAATATACAGACAGTGAAAAAACTGCAGTGAAGAAATGTACTTCTATGCTATAAGAAAATCTTAAATAACACCAAAGCCATTGGTTTTACTCTATGTATTTTGATTACATGAGAATCATTCCCTATCATCCATGTCTCCAACTCATGATGTCACACACACCCTGTGACATCCACACACATGATATCATGTCTCAGCTTTTATTTTTAAAAGGCACCAAACAACTGTTTATATCAACCTTCTGTGACGTTAATTTGTGACAGACAAGTGTTTTTATTCTGAGGTTTTATTTCCTGTCTTCACTGCACATTGCACTTCCACAGCCTGATTTGTCTGTGTAAACGGAATCAAGTCTGATTCTATACATGATTGTCTCCGCAAAGTGAAACCTACTCATCGGGGAGCGATTCCATGCAAACATTCCTGTGGGCACATGGGATGACTTCCTACCCCCATGCAGGGGAGAAGGGGTCCTGGCTGCCGTCAGCCCAGTTCTCATGGGCTCTTGTTTATTCTCTAGCCCCATTTTATCATGCTGTCTGCCCAGTGTATTCACTCCAGTTTGCATCCTTGGTAATTATGCATTGTCTCATAATTGCACACTAAAATGTATATTTCAGTTTCAGTAGTCAATAAAACTAAAGTTATTGAGTTAATATATATCTGATACTACAATAATTTTCTCTCTATTGTTGCTATTCTCCTTCCTAAGTAAATGGGAAAAAATGTTGTTGAATGCTAGCATTCTTCCATCTCGTCTTTAGAGCTCACATATTTTGTTTGTTTGTTTGTTTTTTTCTGGACAGTCATGAAATATATTGCTTCCTTTTCCTGCAATAAATGAAAAGGAGCCGAATTAAACCTACATGTTTTTATTCCACATGTGGGAATTTTTAGCTATACGATTCCATTTGAAATGGAGTGTTTACGTATTAAGGCAACTTTCCTGATGGTTTTCCCACATCTCATTATCTGGAGCTAGCTTCAAAGACCTCCTCAGGAAAAGAGCAGCATCTGTGTGAAGAAAAGAAGCCTCCGTTTTCAGAGCATCCCGTGTGCCTTTCAATCTGGGCACTAGAAATAACAGGCAGTAAGCCTAGGGCAGGGGAAGCCAGGAAACAAATAATGTCCCTTCTTTGGTTACCAAATTGAGTTGAAAATAAGAAATTAAAACATTATTTCTCTGTTAAAACAAACTTCAGTTCATCATGAATCAGTGAACATTGGCATACATGTTTAAAGTAAGCACGAATGTTAGAAAAGAAAGTATACTTCAAGAGTTTCACATTCAAGCTTATAGCCCTGAAGCCACAAACAAGCAACACTGTGAAGAAAATCAGAGGCGCTGCACTGAATTCAGCAGGAGACAGTACAAGAGTTCACGCTGGCTTATGGAAAGGCAGGCTTAACTCTAAACGCAGAATTGTTCCCTCAATAATATTACCTTCTAAACTCCTCATCTTCATCCACCAATAGGATCATTATTCCCCAATGCCACCAATACCCCACAATTCCTAGTTTGGTACCTTTCTGTCCATAACTAACTCAGAGAATAGGAACATTTCTGTAAGTACCTGAGATAGATTCTGGACTGAGGTTTTCCCAAGTTTGCTGGCTTAACATGTACACAGTAAGGAGAGAAAACTGGTCTACCATTTATTAAATCATTCAACAAATATTTATTGTTCATGGTGCTGTGCTAGGCATTGGGGATACAGCAATGTGCATTATAAAAATACAGTCTATGATATTTACAGCCTAATTGGGAGGCATTAATCAAAGAATAACACACACAAACTACAACCTATCCAGTAATAAACACTATACAGGAAAAGGAGAGGGAGCCGTGAAAGGTCATCTGGTGGTGCAACCCTTCATTCTTCCACAGCTTGCCCAGCAATTATCCATCTAGCAACAGACTTCCTACTTTGAGGAACTGGAAGTTTTCGCCCTGGAGAAGTTATCATTCCCCCTTTCCGTTTGCTCTTACCATGCCCAGTTTCCCAAACATTCCTCTCTGTGAATTGATTTCAGGTAAACGTTGTTCACACAGTTTGTCTATGGCATGGAGCCCCATGCTCAACATGTAAACAGTATGGGGGGATTTTAATACTATGTCAACTTATCACCTGCACTTACTTTGCTTATGGATAGAAGACAGATTTTGCTTTTTCATGGATAATTAAGGCTTTATTAAGTTTCATGCCAGCTTTGAATGAAAGAAAGAGAGTAATCATTGTTATTCTCCAAGGTAAGGATTCTAGTGGAAAGTAGTCAACATTTCATTCCTTCTTTACTACCTTACAGAATGATAAAAGGAGGCACGACATTTTAGTATTTATGAAACACGTTTACACTCTCTCTGCCTTCAATCTTCTTGATATCACTGAATGAGGTAGATGCGGACAACATGTGAAATTCATTATGTGTTTTATGCCTAATGCCAATAAAATGCCCGGTGTGGCCCCATATTTCATTATCAATGGGAGTCAATATTTCTATAATGATTACACAAAAATCTAGGCTATTTACACCGTGGAATTGTAGTATAATTTAAAGTGATGGGAGAAAATGTTAATGTCTAAAACCTATTATGTGATCAGAATAGAGGAACACAAATCTTTAAAAGTAACTCTCCTGATAAGTCTCTTTTGCTTTATGTTGTCTTTTTCTTTATCATAACCTGTGTATAACCCAGAGCCTCTCTACAACATTTTTAGAGAGAAATTTTGCAGTAGGTATCAAGAGTTGTCCTTTGTCCAACTAATTTTATTTGGGGGCTCAATTCTAAGGAAGGATATGTTAGCGCATTGTGATCATGGCTTTATTTTGTAAGTTTTTACCAACTTCTCACACTTTCAAATAACCTTTAACTAGGAGAAGCACATATGTCGCTAAGTCAGAATTATCATGTCATGGTAATACCAAGGAATACAAATAGCACTGAAAATGTCAGCAGTTGAACAGATTTTCTACTACGAGGGCAGGAAGATAAAAGTTAACTGTAGTAGCGGCAGAGCACAATATAGAAAACTTTTATTATCTAAATATTCACTATGTGGGTTCTATGAATTTCAGAGATTTTACACATGGAAGCGAAAGTTGCTATAACATGAGAACAGCTACTAATAGTCATTTATAAAAGTAATCCCCACCCATCCCCACCCACTTATCACAAGTATCTGTTTTCCTGTTGACTACCATATCAATGTGTCATCAATTAGTTGCTGATAATAGAAAGTAATATGATGCTAATGTGACATTAAGTTGTAAAGCTTGTGAAAATGCAGATTTCCATGAAGTCAATAAAAGTGTTGCTTAAAAGCACTAGGATCATAAGTGAGGCCATAGAATAACCAAAATCTAACAGAGTTAAGCTATGAAGAGAAAACAGAAATGAATGCTGGCATGATGATAGATTCTTCAAAAGATGGTTTGACGGATTTCTGGTTCCAGACCGAGATACAATTTCCCACTTCTCTCTGCCCCCCCCCCAACTAAGTACAACTAAAAACACTCGATCGTACATACAAAAACCACAAAACAGTCAAAAAGGAGCCGAGAAGAAGTCAGGACTTATTAGGGTCCTAGGACCTCGGGAGGGACACGATGGTGAGTAAGTTCCTTGGATTTTCTTTTTGCCTCGGATATCCTAGTCCTGGTGCTGGAG